AGAGTGTAATGAGCGCTTGAACACGTTTCGCAATGCGTTAATTAAAGTGGTCGTTCCCAAACCACATGCAGCCACACACGTCGCTTCCCAAGCCAAAGTGCCATTAGAGAAACTCCCGCCGAAAGCGGGCGTTCGCCCCGATCAGCACGCTCTCGCAATCATCACGCTGACGCTGTTGTGCCCGCAATGCCGCTAGTTCGGCGCGGCGTTGTTGCAAGCGTTCGACATCGCGAACTAACTCGGTGGCGAGGTTTGCGGGATCCTCCCGCCACCGGCGCTTTCATTCTCGTAAGCGATTTAGCGCGGCTTGGAAGGCTGCCGCGTGATCGGTACGCAGTTGCTCCCCGCATTCGGCCTTCCGGGCTCATTTTTGTGCCCGGACTGCACCTTCAGCCCGGCCGGTCCAGCGAATGCGAGCTCGCCCACGTTTCCACTGTCGGTGCTTTTCTAGAGTTGTCCGTGGCTTACCCATGTGAAAGGTCCCAGTAGAAGTTGATGCGCGCGTGCTAGGAGCCACGGCTGCGACGGGACGAACGACGTCACTCACAACGCAGCCAATGGCGCGTGTGCTTCGGTACGATGATGAGAACGACGTAACTGATAGCACAGCCAAGGGAGGCCGCTCGTGACACTGATGCCGAATGGTTTTTCGTTTTTCCTAGTCGTATACAGCTTTCGCTGTAATAGAGGTGCAAGACCTCTTTAGGGGTCCCTGGTGGAGTCTTTATTCTGGGACTCCATTGATTAAAGCCGCCGCCATGGCTCTCGCTGGGCCTCGGGGTCTGATAAAAGCAGTCGACCACTGTAACCGCTGATCGACAGTGGCGGAGCACGATGCAGACGCGTGTGCGCTCGTAACAACGCAGGTAACCTACTCGAAGGGTTTACTTTCCGGGACTGCAAGAATGTTACTTTTTGGGGATAGAAACGGGTCTATCACGGCAATTTTGTTTCCCGCATGCTCCCTCCTTGACAATGATCATTGGACTTTGCGTAGAATGCGTTGCGTGCACCTGACCGCCTGCCGAAACGCTGTTCGTGATGTCTCGCTTATATATAAAACAACGAGCTTGCATGCCTTAGCAGCTAAAGTGCTGTGCAGCTGAGATCTCGAGGACGCGGGTTCGATTCCCAGGCACGTGTCCGCCTCATTTTTCTCGGGAGCGAAATGCGACAAAGCACTCGTGCCCTCATATTTGGGTGTCTTGGCGTTGACGGTTTACTATACCGTACTGTTTACGGTGTTACTGTACCATGATCCGAAACTGTACTAGCTCGATGCGTATGGCGTAGCCTGATTATACTGTCTGATGGAGGCTTTCCACACTAACAGAATGGCGTGCACACCACAGTGGTTTTTCCATTCCGACACTGTATACAGTAAAAGGCCAGTGCTAAAGGACCTTATTTAGGGCCTCCTTAACGAACCACAGTTTGTAAACTTGGTTCGTTAAACACTAATTTGCCATTACACAACATTGGCGTACATTGTAATCGTATCCTGGTTTTCCTCACTCGTAAAACCCAGGGTTTATGTTGTTTCATTGTTCTCCAAGAAAACACGCGGGGTGTTTATTAACCAGGGGCGTTGACGAGCTTCCCAAGTGAGGCAGTTCCTTCACCCCACCACTGCCAGTTTTTTCGGGCTGCCGCAGGTCTATAGTACCCCATTCCAGCACTTGTCTCTGTCGCTGTTGTTGACTCCGCAGCAGCCCGGCCGGGTCGTCACGGTGTGTCAACCTGCGGACGAGCGAGGATCGAGGCCGTGGGGGACGGCACACTTCGTCGGCTTTGTTGTCTCCGGCGCGTTCCTATTTTTGGCTTCTCGAATACGTGCGCGCGCACGGACAAAAGGGCGAAAAACACTGCTTGCCACACCTCGACGTCCATCGTGGTGCCAATATTGGCCTTTGTCTCTGTCTATTCATCTTTTATTTCCCGTCTTTCCTGTCAGCCGCTCAATAGGTGTGCTGCGCGCCCTCGGATCAAAGGGCGCGGCCAAGCCACAGCTCCGAGTAGTGCTTCTCGCCTGATTTCCATGGGGGGCAGGGACTGAACTTTTTCTTCGCTTTCAGCTATTTACGGCCGCGAGCCGTGATAAGTGTTCTTAGCGCGTCCGCGGTCACTCGACGGCGACCTCTGCGCGGTTGTCGCCACTATGCCTAATAGAGGCAGGGTGAAAGCGCCCCTTGAGAAGATGGACGTAAGTAGGTCAGATTTCGTCGAGCGATTGTATTGGATTGTGCGGTCCGGCGCTGCGTTGTTCGGTTCAGTTCGTTTTTGGCCACGATGATTCGGGATGACGCGTTTGCAGATTTGGGTTTAATATAGCTCGAGTGGGTCTCGCGAACAATGGGGAAAATTGTCACGAAACGCACTGCGTGTGCATATAGTGCACGAAGATGGGGTGTGGAGGGGTGGTTGTGGTTATTGTTAGGAGCAGAAAAGGTGGTGCGGTCTTCTGCAGCCCGCGAGTTACGCTGCTCAGGACAGTGCGAGTAGAGTCCGAAAAATATAATAACAGACGAGGGAAGGACCATTCTACGTAGGTCAGTATGCTCAATGTTCGCTCGTTCCTTTACACTCTAGTGCGTGAGTTGCGCACTGTAGTGTGTGCTGTGGAGTGAGTATTCATGAACGAGAGTGAGCGTCAGCGAAATTTTAATTAGATAACTAAAAAAAATTTGAAAAAGCATATATTAAACGTATTACTGCTGCATTTTGTCAGTTTTCGATATCTTGCTTTGTTTGTAAAAAAAAAAGTTCGAAATGTTCTTGTGACTTTCTCTTTCGTTATTCGTATTTTAGCTTTGTCTTTGTAGCTCCGCTGTGGTGGTCTAGTGGCTAAGGTACCCCGCTGCTGACCCGCAGGTCGCGGGTTTGTATCCCGGCTGCGGCGGCTGCATTTACGATGAAGGCGTAAATGCTGTAGGTCCGTGTGCTCAGATTTGGGTGCACGTTAAAGAACCCCAGGAGGTCAAAATTTCCGGAGCCCTCCACTACGCCGTCTCTCATAATCATATGGTGGTTTTGGGACGTTAAACCTCACATGACAGATCTTTTTTTTTTTTGATTAACATAGGAGGTCCCGCCTATGGTTTACTACCTTGGCCTCCTGCATACTTACTCACAATGAGCGTTGCTCACGCTAATAAAGAAACGATTGATTGATTGATTGAACCATGGTGTGAGATTGAGGTACACCGTAGGTTGTGGCTCCGCATTATTTGCGACCGTGACTGCCTTTCGTCTATTTTTTTTTTTGTTAACGTGCAACCATAATGATAATTGTTCGCCTTTAACGTCACCAAACTACCATATGATTATTAGAGACGCCTTAGGGAAGGGCTCCGGGAATTTCGACCGCCCGGAAATCTCTAAAGTGCACGTAAACCTAAGCACATGAGCGTCAGGAATTTTCGCCTCCATCGAAAATGCGGCCGTCGGGATTCGATCCCGCGACCTGCGGTTCAGCAGCCGAGTGCCTTAGCACCGTGGCGGGTCAAGGTGCAAGCAATTAAATGAAAAGTACACGGGTTTTCTTGCATTTGGCCCCATCGCACAAATGTGAATGAGTGAGCGAATGGTTTTCGTGAAAATGTGACAGAGCAGTTTCTTCAGATAACATTTAGGAATCCGCATTACGGTGGCGGCGATTGCGCCGACGCTCATTGAATAGCATCCCGCTGCGCATAGCAGTTCCTCAAAGAGGGCTCTTAGGACGCAGCGATCGTTTATGTTCTCGACGTCCAGCTGTAGTTTTTTTCTTTTTTGGGGCGCGTTTGTACATTACCTTAGATTCGAGAGCGCGGTTTTGATCGAACCGTTGACGCGAGCGGGGACAGACCGCCCCGCGCCGTCCGCGTGATTGCTGTCGCCGGCGGAGTCGGAACGAGTGCTTGTTGAGCGCGGCCGTCTGTCACCGCTTCTGTGTGGCTACATTGGCGCGGAGCGCTTTGTGACAGCTGCTCGCTCGCGCGACGCCTCGAGTGGTGCGTAAACACTGTGTGTGTGTGTACGGTCGTAAACGGCGAGAGTGACTCACCCGTCGCTGCGCGCTTGTCCGGACGGCACTTGCTGAAGCGACGCTCAGTCGTTGTGCAATCGCGTGGTGCGCGCGATTATGTCGAGACTCTCCCGCCTCTCTGTCCACTTTTCTCGTTCCGTTATCGCGGGCAGCTTGTTTCGGGGCCGTCTGGCTTCTCTGCTCCGCGTTGAAACGCATGGAACTTGTTTCCTGGCGAGCGACTCGGCCAAGGCTTTCATTCGAGCGCGCCCTGTGCGAACGCCCGAGTTCCGTGCACGGCGAATTGTCGACGTCTTCGCAGTCCTGCATCGACCGAACGATGAAGTTGTGCCCGTTCGGACTCGGAGAAGTCTCGCGCCTCGCTCTCTTCGCGAGTTGGCTTCACGGCAGGGCGCGGAAGTGTGCGGGAGAGACAGCTTTCCAGCAGTGGCAAGTATAAGTAGCGAGAGCGTGATTCCGGCTTCGCGGCTTGTGCTACTTGGACAGATGTAATCGTCATGGCTGTTGGCGTTATCTCTTTCGTCGCTGTGATAACGTAATTAACGGTGTCTGTAATCCCTCCGTCATTATAGAGTGCTCGATAGCCCGATTCTTGCGCTGGATAAACTATTCGGGAACGCCGCACGACGCGCACTCACATAGACAGTATGCACTGTGTGCTTTGTATTGTATGCAGCAGGGATGATTTGAGACTAATGTTCGACATCTTCGCCGACTCTTGTGTGTGTTGCGCAGTGCTTTTCAAATCATAAGACCGTGTCTTTTACCCGGTTTAGTGACGGGCGTGAGTGCGCGGTCTGTCCACATATGTCCTACAGTGTCCTCCTTCTTAATTTCGACTGAAGTCGTTGGAAAGCGACATACGCTCGCCCACCATCTTTTGAAGAGTGTTAGCGAAGTGAGACGTCGATCGATGTACAAATGGTGATGTTTCCGTATCTCTCTCACACGTACATCTCTTTGGATCTCCCAGGAAAGCCCGTCGAAAAGACAAGGATGCATCTTCTAGTGGCGGTGGCGGCCAGGAGGAGCCCAAGATGTACCTGGAGTCGACGGTGCTCGAGTGCACCATCCCCGAGTCCCGGCTACGAGACCTGGTCGACCTGCCCGAGGGGCTCGACTACAACGAGTGGCTCGCATCGCACAGTGAGTCTTTTTCTCTCTTCTTAGTCCAGGGCTATGCTGGCATGAGCAGCTCGCTGGCTCTGCTTGTCTAAGTCCACAAGTCATGCCTCCCACTGCCTCTGAAACCTGTGCGGTTGCTTAGTAATGAGTGGGCTGTTTATCTGAGTACCTGTATTTAGGTATGTTTTTTTTACTTTATTTTGAATAAAGCTTTCTCTTCTTTTCTTCTTTCCTTATGTATACATATGCAGGACACATCATCGAGAATATTTATTTATTTATTCATTTATCTATTTATTTATTTCAACATACTGCAGCCTTGGAGGGCTATTGCATTAATGGAGGCAGAGTACAAAATATTGCAATACAACACCAAATGTAGGAGTATAAGGATGGTTAGTAATGTACAAAATGAACTCATCACATCATAAACATTTAATTTGGCTGGGCAATGCATTTCATTGTTCAATAGTGCGGACAAAATAAAACTGTATTTATACGAACTTGTTCGATGATTAAAAGGAGGCATGTTCAACTCACGGTGATGTACGAATAATAGAGCAATGGGTTAGAATAATAACCGCATAGAATGATAGTACCCCCCCCCCCTAACGGAGGTTCTCTCTGTTAAAGGGGCTCTGCAACGCTTTTTGAGCATGGTCAGAAAACGCTGCCGATCGGTAGTAGAGGCTCCCGACAACACGAGAGCCAAATATTATATCGCAGCATGCGGGCTGGAACTCACAATAAATGATCTAAAAATTGCTTTCTCTTCTCCCGAGTAATGACAAAAGATGCTCAAAAATCGCGCACACAAGGACATCTATCAGTGATTAGCTGATTTGAACATGGCAAGCTCTTCTCTCGAGTAATGACAAAAGATGCTCAAAAATCGCGCACACAAGGCCATCTATCAGTGATTAGCTGATTTGAACATGGCACGCTCGGTTGTTACTGGGATTGTCGTGAGAGGCCGCAATTTGCCATTGCGTTCGGGCTGGTCACTCGATAAAAGCCACGCATTTGTTGAAAAAACAGAAAAAATGCTCAAGCTTATGAGGTGTGCATGACGTATTTTCTTTGTCCCGGCCATCTTTCCCTGCTTAGCTTCCAGAGCTTTCGCCGGGACAAGAGGAAATGCGATTGCAGCGTGCGACAATTTCTTGTAACACCGCTCGTACTGGACGAGTTTTTAAAATTTTTGCGGCGCTGAATTCGTGAGGCAATAAGCTCTTTTAGTGACTCCATTCCATGGTTACTGTAAAAAGTCTTTCAAGGCCCCTTTAAAAAGTGCAGCACTTCAAAGGTCTTCGTTCCGCCGCTTCCATGATCAGAGAACTATCATAACTATGCACAGCTTGCCAGGCACAGCTTCACCTAGTGCGTACAGTTATTCGCAGTAACTCGGCAGTCACACTATCTCTTTGTCCACTTGTTCATCTTAGGATTGTCTATAAATAAAGACTGTGTGCTTTTGGCGACATATATTTGGGAAATGATGATACTTGAAGTACGTTTTTGTGTATCATCCAGTAATTTGCCATACAACAATGCCCGTGGCCAGCACATCTATTGATGTTGCCCAATGAATGAGCAGTGCGGGCATTTCTCACATGCTTATGCGTTCTAACAAAAAAAAAAAAAAAAAAGAAGCAAAGAACAGATAACAGAAAGGAAAGGAAGAAATAGATTGCGATTTCAACATGAAAAGAAAGAGGGAGCCTTTGATACTAATTAAAACCTTTATAATTGAGACATGAATAATGTTTTAATGTCTTGCTAATTAGGGTCATACTAATTAAGACCTGGCTAATAGTCTAGATTGGCCACAAGCTATGCTAATATTTCAGCCTTGCACCATTAGTATAAGCTGGTCACAGTTTTCATAACTGAAACTTTTGAAGTTTACGTATTCATAACTTATTACAAGTGGCCATTATTTTGTACATGCTAAATTTCCTGATATACATGCTCAGAGTATAGTGTGGGCAGTAATTGGAGCTGCCTAAAGCGTATGTGCTTAGAAAAGAAAGGAAGCTTTGCAAGGGCCTAAACTCGCTTATGTGATGGGACACAAACTGAATGTTTGACATGAGCAAATGCATCCATCCAACTGCAGTGCTGGTTGGTGAAAACTTTTATCCTGTGTCCTGTAGTTTGATGGCTTTGACTCAGGTCTTCCATGTTGGAACGTACAGGCCGTGCCTAGTATACCTTATAGCACATTTATGAAGTGCTAAGCAACAACCATACGAGGAGGATACACGTAAAGAGGACACATTCTCAACATCAACTGAAAGTTTGCTGATACAATACAGTGGTGATGCACATACATGTTCAGAACTTCCAAGAACATGCTAACGGCACAGTTAACATAGATAATTACAGTGTTGGTACAGATAAGCTTTTTCCTTAGCATGTGAAACCAGTGAATATGCGCTCAAACTTATGTTAGATTCTGAACTAACACAGAAAGCCTCGTCGATTTCACAAGCTTGCTGAGTCACCTGCACCATGCATTTTCTTTGTTGTCAACGATGGCCTGTTAAAACTACAAAATATACACTGTTGGAGTTGTGTAGACGCAAAGGACTACGAACTAGCCAATGCTTATCCAGTCCTTCCGTGCACAGGTTTAAGTCCTGTAGACAGCTGCTTAAAAATAAATTAGTTTTATGATAGTTAAGCCACAACAGCTTCATAACAAAACCTATTCAATGCATAACTTCAAGTCACAGAAAACTAATACCCTACATTGTTCTTTTTGCAGCGGAAGCTGTTATGAGATCACTTTTCGGGTCATGCGCAGTTGTTTTTGTCCATCACCGCCGGTGTCCGTAACCACATTACGCGAAATGAGAACAAAACCTTACCCCAATGACACAGTGGGGCTTCAACCCGTGTCCGCTGAGTGCCAGCCCAATATTCAACCACTGAGTAACGCCGGTGGTTGTAACTTGTTGTCAAACTTGCCTTAAGCAGGCATGACCTAGCACCAATGGCACAGTGGGGGCTCGAACCCTGGTCCACTGGGTGCAAGCCCAGTATTCTACCACTGAGCTACACCGGTGCTCGTGACTTGTTGTCAAACTTGCCTTAGGCAGGCTTCATGTCGGGAAAGCAATCACATTAATACGACTTATAAAGCGTTTTGCAATAGCAAAAGAACAACCAGTCGTCGCACAGTGCGCATAGCGTAACAAGTGGGCCGTCCAATGCTCAAAACCATCACAAAAGCTTGCTCTTGATCCACTATTAACTGTGGCACATACCCACTTCAGCCATAATTCCTCATCATCGTCAGCCACTGCATGGACAATTGGCATAAAATTCCTAGCAAATGTTTAGCGGATACCACGCTTCTCAGAAGTGAGTCGAAAAATAGCATAGCGAATGCCGGTCTACTACGCAAAAGTTTATTATTAATGCCCTAGTGGGTACCAAGCAAGTGTGCTTGAAGTAGTTACCCAATGAGTGTTTTGAAACTGCTCTGAAAGGCTGTGACTGTGCTGTGCCTATACCGCGCAGGCCTGGTGTTTTTTTTTTTGGCAGAGAGTGCTAATTAAATCTAGTACATTTAGTAATAAAAACACTGATTTATGGTAAGCCGGCTGGCAGTGTAGAGAGTTTATGAAAAGGAAGTGCACTCAGTTTCAAAATAAGGAATTCTGATTTTTTTTCACTCTTGACTAATGAATTGTGTCTGCTTTGTTAATCCTTCAAGGCATGTAAGTATTTGATTAATGCTTTTCCCACAAAACTTTAGGATGTTTTAATTTTGATGGCTCTATCACATGGATAGTTTTGAGCCAAGACTGGCAGTTTTTTGGAAAGTGTGAGCTGGTATACTGTCAACATCCAATTTTCATGTCTCTACATTCTACGAAATTATTGGAAAAAAAGATGGCTGCCTCTTGATGCTTTATGTTCTCGAATCACTGCAGCTACATTTGAAATAGGCCCTGACGGCCTGCCACAACAATATTTCTGAGGTATCTTGGGGCTTGTACTGTTGCATGAAATGACCTGTAGGTCTCACAAAGGCCTACCCTGTCACTGTAACTTTGGCTTCCTTGATATACTTTGCCACTATACATTGCTTGAACATGCTTGACCACGTATTGACCCCTGCTTTGCAGCCAAGCTGAATTTTGGGAACCGTTACAGCAGCGTGGGGATTTGCATACAAAAGTGTCGATCTAGACTGCGACATAAGCATTATGTTTGGACATGTGTTCGTGGCATAAAGTAAAAAAAAAATCAAATGGTGAAAGTATGGGAAGAGTCCAGCAATACTTTTTTTGATTATAAAGCTCCTCCATAAACTTGATTAGGGACAAGAGCAGCTGCTGGGGCACCCTCGCCCGTGTGTAGGCATCGGAGTGGCACAGGCGCTGCAGTTTTACGCCTGCTTAGGAACTACAGAATGTGATTTAATGTACCCGTGAATGGTGATTATATCTTTGGAGTGATATTACCTTCGAGGCAATTTGAGGCAGCTGTAATGCAGTGCAATTCAACATCGAATAAGGCCTTGGAGCTAGAAACTTGATGGCAACAAACATGCACTTCTTCCGCTGTGCAATTTACTATCACTATAACAGCATGTTTCTTCCATTTCTCTAAAGGGACGGGTGCCACTGGTTCATGCAAACACCGTCACTTTCGTCGGAAGGCTTTTTGCAGACATGTACTTGCGGGGAGTCAAATGTGAAATCATCTGTAGAAAGAGTGTTACCCACAGCCAAAAGTGGAAGCAGAACTGAAGAAGACGAAAGTGCACGCGAGAGTGGCGAACATGAAGTGCATGAGCTTTAGAATGCTGATTGGCTGTGCAAGCGTGGTCGACAAACCGAGAAGCAGTACGTGCGACCCAAGGACGATGTCGGACCGAGCTGGTGCTACCAGTCCAGCCGGGACTATCTTGGCGCTTCCTGAGGTGAACACGTATTGTGGTCAGGGCCTTGCGGGCTGTTGCAGTATGCTATCCAGGTTGTGTCCTGAGTGTAGCCGGGTACAGACCCCATGGCCATGGTGCTGAAGGCTCTGGTCCAGCACAATGGCCTGCTGAGCTCGTGACCTCGGTGCCACAAATGTTGCAGTTTGGCACCACCAGGGGCGGAGGGCACGGTCTAAGTGCTGTGTCGGGCGCGTTGCCTTCTGATGCATTCCTGAGAGCACCTCCAGATCTTTTCGTGTCCTCGTGAACGTATTGTTTCGTCATCTCTTGCAAGGTTGCTTTACTTTCATATCTTAGTACAGCAAGTGATGCTTTATGGACCTCGTAGACAATGAGTTAGGCAGTGAGGATGAGCCAATTATTCGCAAGGTCGTAGGTCTGACATACTACGGGATAAGACTTGTAGCAAAAATTTCTAGGAAGTGGGTTGTTTGGATGTTGAGAGGGTGTGTATTTGTTAGCTCGTGTTGTTTATAAATGTTTCCTTCTCCCTGACCTGTGTGTCTGTATCTGAGAGCTCAAGAACCACCAGACCATGCCTTTCTTGCCGAGGTATGCTGATTGGACCTTTTCACCCTTTGTGTCTGTAAGCTGCCAGAACACTGACACTTCTTCGTCATTTCTCTTGTATCTTGATTGACACCCTGGCCCACAGGAGGTATGGAGCATCCTTTCCAACCTTCAGGCACAGCACAACACACTATGTACAGTACAGGGAATATGCTATGAACTGTGCACTGACTCATCGCAATACTTTGCACTGACACTAGCAGCAGCCTTCGCTGCCGTCTGCCCGATGCCAACAGACTGGACGCAGCGCAGCTTCATGAACAGGCAATTTGTGGGCGGGCTCTGATATGTCCAAAATTTCAGGCATTAGTATTCAGGTTCAAAACTGCGGAAGTTGGTACTCTATCTATCGTAGAGAAAAAGGCTTCAGGCACAGAATGTCTTTTCTGTGGGCGCTCTGGGGTACATGACGGTGCTGCAAATGTGTCTGCATTGTAAGGCATGATCGAAAGATCATTTGCTTTGTGCAGTTGCCATGTACATCTGCCTAGCGACAGGCTAAGAATTTGCTTTCCCACCTTGCAACATGAAAATGAACATTCAAGCAAGCAGATTAGCTGTCCCTTTCAAGCCGTTATGGATTTAAAAGGCACTTGACAGAGGATAACTGGAAATACTTGGCAGATATAACAAAAAACCAGTTGCAAAACAAGTGTGCTGGCGCGTTCCTCACTGCATTGATGTAACCGCTGCTCATGATGGTATTCTTTTATACGAGTGAACTTTGCTTGACAGCACATCAGTGAATGATCTGAATGCATGCTCTTCTGTAACGGCAGAAACATTTTTACATTTAATTCATATAAAACAACTGGCATCTGTATTACCTAAGGGAAATTGTGTGATTGAAATCTTATATTAGCATTGCTGTAAATATGCAGATGATTATTTGAAATTTAGGGCCTTGGTTTGATTATTTGCGTTCCTGTGTAGCATTGTTTGGCTGTTTTTTGGATATTCTTTACATTACCTCTTCAAGGCTTGAGTTGAAAATTTTAATATTCCAATGCATAAAGACATAGCTTAGGAACGTGTTTATTCCGCAAGTTTTCTTTACATTACCTCTTTTACGTGCAGCACTGGCGTTCTTTGACCACATCAACCTCCTCTATGGGACGGTGTCTGAGTTTTGCACCATGTCTGGCTGTCCCGACATGACCGGCCCAGGGAATAGGTAAGCTCCTTTGGTACCAAAGTGTTTTCCACAGGGTTTAGCTGTGTATCTATGGTGTCACAACTTTTCAGCAGTTGCTTTACTGTGGAATCCTGGTGACACGACATTCCAAGAAAAGTTGTAGTATGGATCCTTACTCTTATCGTATTTCAATTGCCTGTTTGTAGGTGATGTAATGTTGAAAAGGGTTACTTCAATGACACGTCGGAAATTTCTGTCACACACTGGTGGGTATGAATGTATAAAATTTTTAAATATGTAAAGCATGGATCAGCATTTCTAACCGGCTTAGTGATATTAGATAGTTTTGTCATTATATCCATAAAGTATGGCCATGAATGGGTTTCATTAAGTGGGCATCATAACCAACAGCTCATAAATGGAGGCACAATCTGTCCTCATCTTCTTGAGTGTTTCAGGTCATGCCCTGGTTTTAATAATGTCTTGCACTGATTTTAAGGGCATTTTTTGAGAACTCATGCAAGCACTGGACTTGTGCTAGGTGGATCTGACTTTTGTATTGACATGTTACCATTTCATTATAATTTGTCGTGCACAATAATGCCATTGTGAGGCACATAGCATGCTTTCAAGTCGTATTCAAATTGCACGCATTGTTTTTTACTATAATTACTCAGAGGCTGTTTTATTTATTTACACATTGTTCTTTAAGTATAATTGCTGACAGGGTGTCTTGTTTACTTATGAAGAGAGGTGAGTAGTGTGCAATACAATAAGTCGATGCAACCACAGATAACTTGTTTTTGTTATCCAATTCACTGTCACCCTTCATTGCAGGAGTCAATTGTGCCTCGCTTCTCATCAGCTTGTCACAGACTAATGAGTTGTGTTCAGTAGGTGAAGTGTTTACAGTGCATTGAATTGCTTTGAGAAGCATTTGTATTCACGTACACTATGCTTGGCAACATGCTATGAGTCACTTTTTTTGGCATTGTGATTTTGGTGCCAGAGATTATTTCATGCTGTTCACACGGGGCAGTTTGTGTCACCATAACGACACAGCTGTAAATTTTTTTTTTCCATTGCTGTGGCCCTGGCCACTTTTGTTTGATTACTAGTTTTTGCTTGCTTGCTGCTGTTGAGTGGTGGCACTGTTAAGTAGGGTTTGGTTCGCTACATTATTGTGGCACTGCAGTTTTGATGGGAAAAAGGTGAGTGCCGAATTTCCAAGAAACTAAACGCGAGAAGCCAGATGACAGTTGTTCTTGCATGGCCAAAAGACAATAGTCAAATCTTGCTTTAGCGAACTTCAGTAGTATAACGATTTTTTCAGATTAACAACTTTTCGGAAATCCACCACCAAGTGTCCATTGGTTTAATGTAACGTAAAAATATTTCGCTACTGCGAATTTCAGAATATCAAATCTTTCAGAATAACTATTGAATTTTATCCCCCTTTATATCTTCACAACACTTCAAAATAACGATCAGCGATTTCAAAAAGTTACAACTGTAAAATTAATGACCAGCTTCGTAGCTGTCACCATCAACATCATCAGAACACTTGGCTATTTGTTTATTTGCCCGTCCTATTCAAATGTACAATAGCTGTACTGCCATCATTATTGGAACTTGCTTTTCGCACCGGGCTTCACCCTGTTCCCTTTGACTCACCTTGTTCTCTTTGCTTTCACCGGGCAGCGTGACCTGCTTGCTGGTTTCTAGCCCCTTTATTGGTGGTTGAACTGAACATTCAACCACCAATAATCTCTGGAAGCAGCTCGAAATTGATGCTAGGACAATGGAAAATGTGACACGAGTTAACTATTGGATGACGTCGTCTATGATTACCTGTACATGCTTCACGAACACTCGAACACAAGGCACAGTGCGAAGACGAAGCATGCGCGTGAGCTTAGCTGACGAATGATAAGATCTATGCCATTTGTTGCGATAAGAAAACGACGATGAGAGCGAAGGCGATGTTGAAACAATGTGCAAGATCAGTATGAGCACTAATGCTTTACAGTGCTTGAGGAGGATGCACACGCTTAAGAGTTCGTCTTTCAGCAGTCGAGCTTCCCACATAGAGATAGATTGGGCTCTTCCTCAAATAATTGTGTTCTGGTTCTGTAATATTTTGACTTTATTTGTTCTTTTGCGCTTATTCAAACGTAACACAGTCACAAATTCTTACACAGCAGAGGAAAGCAACTCGCGGTTTTGGCCTTACGGTTTCTGTGCAATTTTTCAATACTTTCACTACGGAAACTCTTCAAAATGATGAATAATTTTAGTGGTGCCTTGAGATTGGTTGTATCGAGATTTCACTGTTCTCAAGGTGTTGCAGAATATTGTTGCTTGTCATAAACATTACATGAATGGCAGGACTGTTCCTAGAGTGAATAGTGTGATTGATCAACTCTACTGAATTGAATGCTACATATAAATGACACCAAGCAAGAAGCTAATACAGGGTTATATTTAAAAGTGATGGGCTTTAACTTGCTGTGATACGACTGTTCATGACAGTATTGTAAAATAGGTTGCATATTGTGGTTGGTGTCAGCATTAATAGCGAAACTTGGGCTAGTTGGTGGTTCATACTTGGGAAGTAAAAGCAGTGCAAAAATATAGACTAAGACAGAGGAAGAGACGACACCGGGGTGTCGTCTCTTCCTCTGTCTTTGTCTATATTTTTGCGCTGCTTTCACTTCCCAAGTATGGTGTCAGCATTTCTAGTACAGAGGATTGGCGGTTAACTACAAGCAGCCTGAGTGGAAAAACGTGCCTCCACATGAAATGTTGTTTACGACTTTGTAAACATGGTGCTATGAAGCATTCGCTTTAACAGCATATGCCATCAAGGGTTCAAGTTCACTTGTTATTATTGCATATACAAGAAGGGGTTACATAATACACAGAAACAGGAGGTCCCAAAGTAAGAAACTGTCAATGGGACGCCTAAAAGGAATGGCACCGAAACATTGAAGATGCTTCAAGAGATCTTCATGAACTAGTAATGCATTTCAAGGTCACAGCCCAGGAAACAGCAAAAGGCGTTCAAGGAAATTGCCTAATGTTTCCCCTACCGAAGAGAAAGCTGGAAGTAAAGCATTGGCTGATCTTGACAAGCATATAAAAAGTATGTTACTACATCGTTCCTGAGAGACACTCACGTTGAGAACTTTCAGAGTACCTTCTAGGCGTGGCAGACTCTGCAAGTCTATTTATGCTAGGGGAGAATCTTCAAGGATTTCAGCTATTTGTGGAGGTCCCATCAATAAATTTATTTTTCCCATAAATAGCAAATCACTCTTATAATGGACCTTGTAAAAGGCCTTTGTGGTGCTTGCAATCTAGAGCAGGTAATGCGGAAATTCTCAGCAGTTTAGATCATATGAAACACTTCATGTAAGGAGCCTTCACGTCTGGAGAAAAGCAAATCCTCACACAACGTTATGGCAAGTGTCAGAGTGCGTGCGATCTAGCAACCTGCAATGGTACAGCTGGCCAAATATTTTAGTTGACTTGAGCAAGTGGAAACCTTTCTGTGCGTCAGCGCCATATGATGGAGCCAAGTTGCAAACAACGTGAGGGTAAGTGCAATTAGCTGGTTCATTGTGTACTAGGCTTTTCCTTCTTGAAGACGTCTCCTCATAGTGGTAGCCCATTGCAGACGAACCAGGCTTTTGGCTTGTCTCATGAATGGGGGTGTGTGGCATATCTAACATGCTTTATCTCTTCAATAGCTTGCTGCAGCATACACCTTCGGAACATGAAGTATCAGCGAAACCTTATGCCTACTCATAGTGCCTGTTCATCTGAAGTGTGCTGAAGTGTGTGTTCTGAAGTGTGTGTTCATCTGAAGTGAAGTGTGTTAATAAGGAACTCCCTAGCAGACAAGCCTAGCTGAGCATGCTCTGTGGGCATGGGCTTAACCATTTTTGCAACTTCACACTGCCAGTCACATGGTGCGCTGATGCACAGAAAAGTCACCGCTAGTGCACTTAGTTGAAGATTTAGATGGCTGTTCCTTCCTTAACATTTATTTTTACTTCAGGCCTACTCTGCCATTGCTGTTTCTGCTTCATGCCAGGCCTAGATGTTGACTTTGGGGATAATCTTGTCAATATGCTACCTTCAAATTCAGATGGAAAAACTAGATACCATGAGTGAATAATGGCCTCTGGGGCCAGCTTTCATTGACACTAGCCTCATATGCTGTTTGTGTGTTACTGAAAAGTGGAACAATGTAGAGCAACCTCAACACGGCAACCAGTCTTCTATAAAACACAGTACTAGATAAGTGTGTTCTGTTTAGGCGAGCGCTGTTTTCAAAATTAAAAGTTGTGATCTTTGACTCTGATTTGGCTGAAGCTTTTTCCTTGTATTGAAGCTCAATTTTCTTGTGTCTGCCCTTAGGGACCGCAGTAGGCTAGTCAGGAGGGCTGAAAGGATGGCCAGAGCCAGCGTACCCTTAGAATAGGGGACTGACCGTGCGACCTTGCCCTGTTTTAACGAGAACACTGGCAGCAGAAGGGAAAATAGAATGTGCGTATGTTATCATGAGACACAGAGATGTGCTGTGTTCGCTGTAACCTTGGAGAAGTTAAGGATAAACCATTTAAACATTGCTATTGTAAATGACGGAGGCATAGATTATAAACTCGCTACTAGTTTACTCCAACTTGTAGTGTGGACCTGCTTGCAAAAGTGAACTTGAGATGTGTCATTTCTGCTTATTCGATCTCTTTCTTGCTCTCGCCGGTGCAGGCAGTACCTGTGGTTTGATGAGAAAGGGAAGAAGTGCAAGGTGGCAGCCCCCCAGTACATAGACTATGTAATGACCTTCACCCAAAAGACCGTCAACGACGAGTCTCTCTTCCCAACAAAGTTTGGTGAGTGCTCTCTTTTCCATTGGTACGCTGCTTTCTAAAACCTTGATTACAGATGCACAGCCTCAACCACGCTGGTAGATTAACAAGAGGCTGGCAGGGCGGCTTGGCCAATGTTTTCCTGTGCGGAACTCGTACAATTTATACTGAACTCATTTCTCTCTGTATCACCGGATATTACTGAGTATTAGCAGAGCGAGTGCGTTATTTTTCTTTAAAAAAGAGCCATGAACTGCTTAGTTTTAAGCCTGCTCTTTGTTTTGGTTGCATTTATTGGTTTGAAAATTTTGGTTAAATATTGAAGATTGAAAAGTATATGAATGTCACAGCCTTTCTTTGTATCTTCATGAAGACTGTAGCAGGTGTGCTGAAGGGTAAGAGGGCATCTACTGATGCAAAACTTATAGAAATCATGTTTATGTTTGTTTTTCCTTTCATTCAGCTATTCGCTCCCCAAGCATCGCTTAGTGGCTCTGTGATTTGGGGCAGGCAGCGCCATGTCTGGCAGAAAGATGGAAACTGGGAATATACGTCGTGCATTTTGGGGGAATATACATTGTGCGCTGCCGTTAGCTTTCACGCACATGCCTTAGTGCTGTGCTTGCAGCGCCGCGCAATGTACCTCTTTAAAAAGATCTCCCAGCTGATCAGACACTTTGAAAAGCGAACATACTTTGAAAACAGAAAAGAAAACTACACAATCTCTGAAGGTGACATATACAATTAATGTACTGAGGACCAGTTAGATTCAGCAGGTCGTATAAATACTATTTTATTATAGCGAGAAAAGTAAAACAAGCCAGCACAACAATGTCAAAGTTTGCTGAAAATGCACAAACATTCTTCCCGGCGCGATGACGCGGTCTTCTTTATGTGCGAATAGCCCCGCCGCGGTGGTCTAGTGGCTAAGGTACTCGGCTGCTGACCCGCAGGGCGCGGGTTCAAATCCCGGCTGCGGCGGCTGCATTTCCGATGGAGGCGGAAATGTTGTAGGCCCGTGTGCTCAGATTTGGGTGCACGTTAAAGAACCCCAGGTGGTCTAAATTTCCGGAGCCCTCCACTACGGCGTCTCTCATAATCATATAGTGGTTTTGGGACGTTAAACCCCACATATCAATCAATTTATGTGCGAATAGCAGGCACCAAACCTTTGGCAGCGTGTGGAGTTCAGTTGAAAGCAACCAACAACGCAACACTAACCATGTTATGATGTATGCGAGTGTGAACACCCAACAATAGCTACATTTCACAAACACAAGCAAGCAAAACACAGTTGTTTTAACATACAACTAAAACTGTAGTTTCACAGTGTGAAGACTTTCTCTCTTGTACGGCATGTTCTGGAACTGCTACAGTTTTACAGGTGGATTACCTGCCTTTGTACTCTCTGCACTGTCATGGCACACAGCTATGCTCTGTACCTCACTTCTGATTTTATGGGGTCACATGTATCGTCGCGGAAATGCAGCTTCACAAAGCATGCCTCTCGGTTCAGCGTGCCTAGCTCACGGCACAGCTTTGAAGTTCCCCACATCGACCAAAAATTGCATGCGCACACGTGCTGCCGCTGTCGGCTGTTAGTGAAACAGGCTTAATTTTAAGACTGCGCCCTCTGCCCTGCCTATTTACATTTTCCCAGAGCTTGCCGCCAGACCTGCAGCGCGGCTTTGTCGTTGCTCTGCAATTGAGCTTGAATCCCTATTGGTTATAGTGTGTTTACTGATATGCAGTAGTATTTGTGCAGGTACTCTTAATGCACTATGTTCGCCACAAGTAATGGTGCCTTCATTTTTTGGTTTTGAGGATGTAGGTCTGGCAAGGTAGATTTAGATATGTAGTGCCTTCTATGTAGTGCCTCTCGGCACATATTTAGATATTTGGTGAGATTCCACACGTCCCTCTGCCTCTCGCTACAGATATTATTAAACCCATGGTTAGATCTAATATGAGTGTATACATCACAGTGTTGCTGCTGGCTAGTTATTTTGCAGCAGCACCAGCCTCCTGAAGTGATGGAAGATGGTAGACTATTTCATCAAGGCTTGGGTATGTTAAGGTGCACCCACAGACCTTTCTATATCCTTGTTCAAATTGGTAACCATCAACGACCGAGTGCCAAGTTAATGTACTCTGCTACTGCTTAAAATAAAACCTGCCTGATAGAACAAAGTGCATAATCACTTGGGAGGGCACCCATTTCTGCAGGAAACTGGCACAATCAGATTGGGAAATTTCTGGTCTGGCAATGCTAGATCTGTGTGGTACTGCTAGCTTCAGTCACCACATTTTTACAGTAACACTGTCTACCTCTAGCTCAAGCTCTCCTAAGGAGTGGTGTGGAAGTGCTCATTAAAATCTAAATGTGTAGACAAACAATAGAGACTGCATAGCTGGCGGTGCGCTCTCCTACAGGCAAAAGTAATAATGACAAAGAATAGAGATGTGCAGCTAGTAGGTGTGCAGCTAGTAGGGTGCACTGTTGCAGATATCTGTGCTGTTCACCAGTAGTCGCTTCGAATCCTAGCGCTGATCACCAGTTGTTGCAGAACGGGGTCTACCCGACATTTCCCCGCTGACGTGGGTTGCGGGAAGGAACATCAGGGTTACGTCGAACCCGGTCGCTTGTGGTAGCGGGGCGTAACTTCGTGTGGAGGAAACGACAAGATGGGGACACAAAAAACAAACAGGTTTATGACACTATTTACACTTATTTACAACATATAGAGGTTAGCAGTTTCACAAACCATGAGCGTGGTGGTTGAACCTTTACATAGTTCAGAGCGACGTCCAGCACTCTGCAGCGTCGTTTTAAACCCTGTTGGACTCGTCCTCCTTGATTGGAACGCCAATCGCACGCACAAGACACCGTCCACAAAGCATAACTCAGTGACACACAGTCCGCCGAATAGTTATTGCACCTCTTGACGCAATGCTTGGAGGATAGGGGAAATGGGGTTTCTTCCTGGAACAATTTGGCGGTTGGGTTGCTTCTTCCGCCTTTCCCAGGAAGGGCAGCCAAGGAGTAGATACTTGAATCTCGGAGACACAACATGTGCGGTCGGTCTGCTTCGGCGTTTCGCTGAACAAGCCGGCCGGGAGGAATCGCTTGTAGGAATATTGGCTCATGGACCGTCTTCTGATTCTTTTGTCGCTCCCCGCCACTGGTCGCTAGTTCCGAGAGAACTGGAGTTCCGGGCGTGAGAGCGTTGCCCGGCTACGTTTCTCAGCGACAGCATGTCGCCTACTGACTAGGGTCACAACAGCTTCCCCCTCGCCAGATGAGTTGCGGAGGGCAGCAGTCACCACTGTTGCTCGAAGGGATGACGAAAGGGTCCGTAGTTGAATGCCAGAAACTCGCCTTCACTTGTCGCATTGTCTGAGTAATTGCTGAAAACCTCGACAGCGTCTCTGAAACTCGATCACATGCACAAGCAAGCACTCGGCCCCCTTCGAATAAACCAAGCCAAAAAGAGGGATGGCAAACCAATTCTCATTACTAGCCTTAACACACTCAAAACTCTCAGGACTCACTTGTGCCGAGAAACCAGACGTGCTACCTTACACATTTACATAATCTCTTCATTGTCAAACTGATATTTTTTGAAGAATCAAACTCCACCTCAAAAGGTGACCGTTCTTCGATGTCACGGTTTGCAGCCACGTAAGGGGACAATGGTCTGTCTCTATTTTAAATTTGGCACCTCTGAGATGAAACTGCAACTGATGAATGGCCTACACAATGCAAGCGCACTCCTATCCTGAAGCGCAGTACGTTATCTCACGAGAGCCCAATTTCTGGCTCAAGTAAGGCGCAGCTTTGCTTGTTACCACTGTCGTCCTGACATAGAACGGCTGCCTCCTTTTCATTGCTGACCACTTTCATCGGTTCTGTCCCACCGAGAGTATTGGCTCGGAACTCGGATTCGGTGAGCGCTAAAGTTGTCTTAATGTCTGTCTTTGTTTACGGCTGCCAATAACCGTCCACTACTGAGACATTAAGCTATCTAGCTTTCCTGAAACTTTGGTCTACGCTGTGGGCAAAATAGTTTTCGTTAGCTCAACATTAGCAAAAAAAGCTCACTGTTCCACTCATATGATCACTTGCTCAATCGTCTTCAAAAAAAACCAACAAAACGTAGGAACAAACACTGCCTTCTAGCAGGTTTTTTCGGTTAAAGTTACCTGCCTATGCTAACGCCTTTGATTTTAAAAGAAACACTGAGCTCTTCTGAGCGTTTTCAATTAATCTCATTAATACAGCGCTTCAAAATGCTCGGCACTATTAACCAAACGCCTAATCTTTCGCAGTTTTTTTAACACTCTTAGTTTACGTTGTAACACACCGTGTACAACACAAAAATAACCCGAGGTTATTTTTGTGTCTTGCACCAATGGCTCTTGCACCAATGGCTCTCAATTCTCACAGCGCATAACGACAACTCAACCGTGTCGCGCCAAGCGTAATCATTTTACGAAATGATGTGGTCTATGCCAATATCTTCCGTCAAATGCTCATTCACTCCAAATCGACCTGGCAGTGAAGGCATACGATATTACACTAAACCTTTGAAACACTAGAAAAATACATTTTTTTTTTCGGTTTTTACCTTCTCGGTATATTCGCACAAATGATTAAAGCACTTCGATGCTAACTTTCAACCTTTAGTTCGGCGGTTTTCTTTCTGAAAATTTTACTCTGCATCACGTAACTTACACAATTAAAACGACTGAAATCTGCATCTACAAAGTAACATTGAGTAAAAATATTTAGCATGCCCGCACAAAAGTTACTCAAACTGACCGTTCCCCCTTTCTCAACTAGAGTCTTTTGAATCGCACTCGATGGGGTCGTGGTCTTGGCAGTTTTCGAGCACGTCAGAGGCTACAAAATGCACGAGCGCTAGTCTGTGTCTCGCTGTCACGCCTCATTCTGCACTTCGGCCGGCTTTCTTGGGGAACGTGAGAGGGACGCCAGAAGCAGGGGGGACGCCTGTGCCATTTTC